GGGGGGGTGAATATCAATATCGATAGATCAATGAATGCATTAATTAATTGACTAATGGATGGATGGATGAATGAACGGGCCGTGGTGGTGGGGAAACTAACTAACGTCCGGTAGATACGGGATATAGGTATGAAATGTGAGATGTGAGATGCGAGATGTGAGATGTGAGATGCGAGATGTGAAAATGGGCGGCGGGGGCTTTGGATTCTTTCTGGTGTGTTTGATGAGGTGGTGATGAGGTGGTGACGAGGTTGGGTTGGGTTGGGTTTGATGAGGTGGTGATGAGGTTGGGTTTGATGAGGTGGTGATGAGGTTGGGTGAGGTTGGGTAAGATGATCGTGAATAGATCGGTGGGTGAATCGATAGAGTAGGGGAGAGGAGAGGAGAGGAGAGAGGGGAAGGGAGGGAGGGAGGGAGGGAGGGAGGGGGGTAGGTGTGCTATGGGATTTTGTATATCTGTTTATGTATATAGTGTAGGTAAGGAAGTAGGCAAGTTAGTAAGTAGGTAAGGCAAATAGGTAAGTAAGTAAGTAAATATCTACCTCAAAGAAGAGAGTCGAAGGGATTGGGATTACATAAAAGGGGTTGAAGCTCGAAGATTAAACGAACTTATAGATAACGGCAATAAAGTCTTGAATGAAGCTCGAAGATTAATCCAGCTTATATATATATATATATATATATATATATCTCTCTCTCTCGATAAAGCGAAACCACCGTGATTCGATATATGTATATATAAGGTATATATATAACGGACATGCAAGCCATCATCCCAATCCCCCTTTTCGAAACTTGGATTTCACATTTGAGATGTTCAAGGAAGATGGAGATGAAAGGGAGGGGTTAGGGATTAGCTGGCTTGTTGAAGGGGGTGGGTTTTCGTGGATGGTTAAGCTGTGGTGGTTTTGTTGGAGGGAGGGAGGGAGGGAGGAAGGTTGGAGGGTTGGAGGGAAGGAGGGGGTGAAGTGGATTGGAACGTGGAGGAGGAGGAGAGAGGAGAGATGAGAGAGAGAGAGAGGGAGGGAATCGGAAAGGGTGGAATAGGGAGTGAGATTTGGGGTACTGTGTGATAAGGTGAGGGGAAATGGTTTTAATTATGTCGGTTTGGTTTCGTGCTTGGGAAGTAAAGGTAATGCAGAGCAGAGCAGGGCAGGTAGAGAGAAGATGTGATAGCAAGATAGATAAATGTAGAGGTTGAGGTGAGAATTTAGACACGTAGTAGTAGGAGTAGTAGTAATAGTAGTTGGTCTCATACCAAGCAAAGCAAAGCAAAGCAAAGCAAAGCAAAGCAAAGCAAAGCAAAGCAAAGCAAAGCATAGCAGACAGAGAGAAGATGTAATAGCAAGATAGATAAATGTAGAGGTTGAGGTGAGAATTTAGACACGTAGTAGTAGGAGCAGTAGTAGTAGTAGTAGTAGTTATAGTAATAGTTATAATAGTAATAGTCGTAATAACAGCAACAACCACAATCCTCAACAACATCCATCAACCTCCAGCAGACCAAAGCACAGCAAGCCCTCCGCGCCACAAGACCTCCCCTAAACCACAGAGGTATACAAAGCGCAAGGTTCACATACCGTCTATCAAATCGATCTCTTACGCGCGAAACTCCGATAGATCTCTTCTCGAATCGATCTCCTATCCTCCTCTTCATACTCTCGAATACAATTCGAAGAAGGTCGTCATCGGCCGGCGATGACTAGTTGGTCCCTGCTTCTCTTACGGTTAGGATGGATAGTACGGGACGAAGGAGATTATGCGGCGCTCGTTTGAAGTCCGAACCTCGATGTTCTTTTCCCGGCTTTGAGGATGCGCGCAGGTAGCTAGCTAGCTAGTAAGTCTGGGTTCTTTTCCTTTCTTTTCTTTAGCTTAGGTATTGAGTTTGGGTAAAGGATGTAGCGAATATGTATATTATATTTTGGGTGTGTTTTGAAAGTGATGATATATGTCGTGTGAGTGAGGAAGGAAGGGAGGAAGTAAGTAGGAAGGTGGGTCGGTAAGTAAGGTAACTAACTGAACCAAACTAAACGCTCATCTTATTGTTATAGTTGAAGTTGAGGTTAAGGCAAGGCAAGGCAAGTAGTTTGGGAGTTTGAGGGATTGGCATTGGATGAAGCTTACTTGAAGTCTTGAAGTCTTGAGCTTTTATAGAGAGAGAGAGAGAGAAAGAGAGAGAGAGAGAGGAAACCAAAGAATTCCATGGATATACGCAGGCCGACGTTTGGTCGTTTAATCGTTTAGTCCCCTTCTGAAAATCTGAATGTAGATTTGGTATTTGAGAAAGAGACAGAAAAAGGTTTGAGGATTAGCTAGCTTGGTAAATAGGTTGGGGCTTCCTTATTATTGTATAAAGGGCGGAAGGAGGGAGAAAGTGAAGTTGATTAGGCTGAGGAGGAGGAGGAGGAGGAAAGAGGGGAGGGATGAAAAGGTTGAGAATGATGATTTATGGTGATTTAAGATGAGGTGAGGTGAGGTGGGATGGGATGATTTAAATTGACTGAATTGACTGAATAGACTGAACAGACTGAACAGACTGAACAGACTGAATAAACTGAATAAACTGAATAAACTGAAGAAACTGAAGAAACTGAAGAAACTGAAGAAACTGAAGAAACTGAAGAGACTGAAGAGACTGAAGAGACTGAAGAGACTGAAGAGACTGAAGAGACTGAAGAGACTGAAGAGACTGAAGAGACTGAAGAGACTGAAGAGACTGAAGAGACTGAATAGACTGAATAGACCAAATACATCAAATACATCAAACACATCAAATACATCAAACACACCAAATATACCAAATATACCAAATACACCAAACACCATAAACCAAACTCAATAAACCAACCGAATCAATCGCATCAATCTAAATCAATTTATCTCCATCTTATCCAACAGTCAGAAGCTAAGCAAAGCAAAGCCAACCATACCATACCATACCATACCATACCATACCATACCATACCATACCATACCATACCATACCATAGCAATCTAGAAAAACGTAAAACGTAAAAGTCAAAATCAAAGTCAAAATCAAAATGAAAACGACAGACAGACACACAGCAAGAAAGTAAGTCAGTAAGAAAAGTAAGAAAGCTGCTCCCTCCCTCCTCCCTCCCAACCAACAAGATTCCACCCCCCAAAACGAAAGGTTCGAAAATTATAGGTAGTATGTGTAAGCAGAAGCTCAAGCTCAAGCTCAACCCCCTCGAGAAGCTCGAGAAGCTCGAGAACCTTGGGGTCGGTCCTCTTCCAGAACTCCTCAGCGCCGCCCCTATAAGCTGGAAAAAAAAAATGGAAAAAAAAACAAAAAAAAAAAACAGTCCTTGTTCTCTCTCTCCTTCTCCCTCCCTCTTCCTCTCCCCTCTCTCCTCTCTCGCTCCCTCTTCCTCTCTCCCTTTCCCTTTCCCTCTCCCATTCCCCCTCCCCTTTCCCTCTCCCATTCCCCCTCCCCCTTCCCTCTCCCTCCACTTTACTTCCCTCTCCCTCTCCCTCCCTCCCCCATTCCCTCTCCCTTTTTTCCACCTCCCCTTCTCCTTCCTTCTTTCCTCCTCTTTCCTCCTTCTTCCCTCCCCTCTTTCCACTTCCTTCCTTCCTCCCACCTCTATCCAAAAAACCAAAGCCAAAACCATAACCCTACCTCTATCCAATGAACCAATACCAAAGCCAATACCAAAACCAAAGCCAAAGCCAATACCAATACCAAAACCAGAGAGAGATACGGCCATGCTTCACATACATACATACATACATACATACACTTAAAAACATATATATAT